CTTTAACCTAACTACCACCTAACCTCCAAACATTACCCGGTAACAACCATAAAATTACACACATCTATCGAGAGTGAAAAGTAAACTTTGAATGACAATTTAAATAGATAATCACCCTTCACTTGTTTCCATATAAATTATCATTCAGGGTTCACTTTTCACATTTTATAGATGTGTGTTAGCCGATGATTGTTAACATGTAAGGTATGAATGTTGGTTGGTAGTTAGGTTAAACAACATAAGAAGAACACCAACATTAGAGGAATGCTAACTAACTTCATCTCACCATCATACACACAACAATGCATAGGAAGAACGTAGAGAGTTTGAGTGGTCAGGAAACAATAGAGGAGTACTTAGGCCACCAATATTTTGGTTATTATGTAATTTATAAAAGATTTGTTAATAATAATATCCATTAATTTCATGGTAATTTTCAAAAAAGTCCCAATATTTTGGTTATTATGTAATTTTTGGAAAAGTCCCAAAATTTTGAGCAAACTAACGAAAAAGAACAGAATACCGGCAAAATCTGCGAAACCGGCCGAAAAGGGTTTTTTCGAAGTTTTAACCGGTATTCTGTGCTTTTCTGTAAATAAAATTTATTTTGGGACTTTTTCATAAATTGGACTAAAATTTTGGGACTTTTCTGGAGATTTCCCTATTAAGAATGTAGACTATTAATTAATCATAAGAAATATTAAACTAAGACTTAGTGATAATTGAATCTAGGTCATGTTAAAGAAAAGGCTAAGTGTTAAAATGAAGTGTTGTCCAACTTTCCAGTCATCCACTTTAACAAGTGAGTGCATAGTTACTTTCAACTTATACAGAGATATAAAGCATCAAGATGATTAAATGTAATGTGTGCCTATTATATGTATTGCTTTTTTTTGGAAAGGGAACTTCGTTAACGAGGATTTTCGGGCCAACTTTCACGCACAAACTAATCCCCCGCTACAAACATGAAGCTTTGTCTCATGCCTTGGAGTCACTGCAGGGGAACCTCCATAGCCACAAGGGCTGAGTAGTGTCAAGATTTGAACATGAGTCAATAGGTTATCCACTATATCTTTCATGTGTCTTACCAAGTCACCACAACATAAGTGTTTAAATGAATTACTTGATATCTATGTTATATGAATTTTATGATTATACTCGATTTACTAATATATATTTTCATAAATTTATATAAATATATTGGGTAGTGTCTTGGATTAGGTGTCTAAGCTCATAACTATAATTAGTATGAACTTGAATTGATAGTAGCACAGTCCTTCTGGGTTGCCTTCAAACCTAGCAATTGGACATGATGATTTTTGGAGAAGATGTTGATTTATTATTTGATTAATAAATTAAAATAATTAATTTATTAATATATTATGAGAATAATATATTAATTAGTAATAGTAATATTTAATTAATAATTAATCATAAATTAATTAGAATTAATTTTGGGATTAATGGAATTAATTAAAAGTACAGGGTCTAAAGTGCAATTGTTCAATAGTAAAACAAAAGGCTCCAGAACCTTCCACCGGGAGCGCGGACAGTTTCAAGGGGATAATCTAGGGTTGCTAGATTATCCCATGTGGATAAATATGGAGCTGGATAATTACAAATTTAAAATATATCCAGATTAGGGTTATCTAGTCATTCCTTGTACCACTATATAAAAGACCTTAGCCCTTCATATTTTGGCTACTCATACTCTCAGAGAGATAGCCAAAAATTTCCCCTACCCTCTCCTCTCTCCATAATCTTCCTTTTGCTAGCTTGGGTGTGATTCCACTAGAGGCACAACATTTGTGGTGCTTGCTTCCAAGAGATTTTCCGAAGGGAACTTCTAGTTGTTTATTATAACAACTAAAAGGTATGTAACCCTAAACCTTCTCTTTAGTAATTTCGAAAATTAACTAGGGTTTCTAGGGTTCTTATTTTGATGTTCTTAGTTATAGGTTCAATGGAGAAAACATAGATCTTGTTTTAGGTTGCATGCACACTTATGAGTTTTAAGTTTGTTTTTGTTATGCCTAAAAGCCATCATAATGTTGGGTGACGATAATGATGAGAGGAATCGACTTTAAGATAATCCAGTCATCTAGCGGAGTATAGATGACTACCACAGACTATTCTAGAAAGTACAATGGAATGCTAGCAAGCCCGTAACCTATATGGGTTTTTTAAGTTATGTGTTCACCAGGTGTACTTCAACCCGTATGGTTGCTTTATTGACATATATTGCTAACGAGAATAGGTAATCAGGTTGAATGTTTTGATAAGAATACATAATTAATAGAATTTAATTATTGTGGGTAGATAACCTTATGTGCTCACTAGGCTCCAAAGCTTGGCTCACTCAATTTCTTGTATTACAGGTAGTGGCACGAGAGCATAGATGTGGTGATCTGATGAGAGATTTATGGATTATAAGCCAGTAAAATAGTAGATTTTTGTAAGGCTTGTATTATTTTCGTTGTGCTTATGTTTTTGTATTGACAATCACATCCCAGAGTTTATATATATATATATATATATATATATATATATATATATATATATATATATATATATCTTTCGAAATGTTTTGGGAACAAATTTTGCATAATTAATCTTTTCAAAAGAATACTCTGACTAAAATAAGCATAACTAAATTGGTATTTTTCTGGCCGTGAAATTGTGATTGTCATAACTATCCCCACACTAGAAGAAGTCGCTACACAAGGTCTCCAATGACTTGATTATTCATTCAGGTGCTTTAAAAATCGACAAGTAATATATACTAATACTTCCCAACACGGATTTGATTAGTGTAGATCTCCCAGACACTGACAACAATTAACTTTCCAATTAGACAAACAACTTTTAACCTTATCTACCACTAGATCCTAACTACCCTTTCGAGTCATACTAGATCCAATAGGTAAACGAAGATAAGAAAAATGCAAAGCATTACACCCCGCCAAACTTGCACTATCTTGTATCTCATACCACTTAACACCCACATCATAAAGACTTGGTTTTTTGCATGTTAAATTTCAACCAGACACCAAATAAAAACCATGCAGAACACAAGAGATGTTATCAATATTTTCCTTACCCTGCTTTGCTAGAAATACAACATCTATCTACATATAACATGTGAGATAACTTAGAACTCATGTCTTCCCACCTTTACCCCTCTAATCAAGTTAGCATGACATCTTCAATTAAAACATGCAACCCTTTCATTGCTAAATAAATAAAAAGGAGACAATTGATCCCTTTGTTTAAACCTACAAAATAGCAAAAACTTAGCAGCAGGACTACCATTCATCAAAATTGAGGCTCTAGCTGATGATAAACAAGAACAAATCCAACCTCTCTACTTTTAACCAAAGTCAAAATCCCCATAACATGGTCTAAGCATTCCCAAGATAAATAAAACAAGTCATCGACTGGCACGTGGAAAAATATGGTACATGTGGATCATGCATAAAGAGACATATATGTTGTACACCCAGGCCCAGTCCAGACGTTGGGCAACCCGGGCGGTCACCCAAGGCCCAAAATTCATAGGATATATATATATATATATATATATATATATATATATATATATATATATATATATATATAGAGAGAGAGAGAGAGAGAGAGAGAGAGAGAGATCATAGGATATATATATATATATATATATATAGAGAGAGAGAGAGAGAGAGAGAACCAACTTATATAAAAATGCTAGGAAAAATATTTTTCTTTAAATTAGTTGTTTTTGTAATATCGTAACAATATTTTTGTTTTTTAATATTAATAGTTAATTTTATAACGGTTTGTCTATTTTCAATTTTAGGGGTTCATTTTTTTTCTTTTCGCCATAAGCCAACTATATCTTTGGACCGACTCTGTGTACACCATAGACAATATCAAAACGAATAAATGTCAAATATTTAAGAACGCTCACAAGGCTTCACTCTAGAGTCGGATCAAAGAGGAGCTCGCCATACAACTTTGATGACTTAAACCATTACAACTTTGATGAGTTAAAAATAAAATGATCATTGGTAGCTAAAAAATGTGACATGAACCCTTAATTATTTTTATATATAAATGGACCACATGAAACAAGTCCAAGATTATTAACTAACTTAATAGCATTTGAATCAAAGTAAAATCCATGACAGAATATATTGATAGCTTTCTTAACCCGTTTAAGAAAATATAGTTGCTTTTTATGGATTTCAACTGTTTTTTCGTTTTATTAAATTGCCAAAAATCGTCAGCATATGTGCCAAAAGAATCCTATGTGGTTGTTATGAGAGGGAAGAGATTATGGGTTCCATGTGGACCTTCAATGGGTCCATTTGCAGGTAATCTTTGAACTTGCAAAGGTAAAAACTATAAATAAAGGCGAGAAATTATTCAAATGGTGGGTGACCCATAAAATTTGTATTTTTGTGATCAAATAGTTAAAAAAAATTATTAATTGTGGTTATTTTGCGTGTTTAACATCAGGATTTTAAATGTTTTTAGAATCTTTTATTTTTAGAATATATAAAAAAAATCGAATTAAAGAAATTCTTTTGGACAAAAATAATTAAAGTTTTAATTTTCTAGAATACAAAATCCATAAAGTAGCTTTAGGTTTTAGTTTTATGTATTTTTTATATATTTCAAAATTTCATGATTATTTTTATCAAATATTTCCGTAAATATAAAAGTTATTGAATATAGTTTCCATTGATTATTTTTGTTAAACATATATTTAACTATATCCACCGGCCTATCTAAAAGAATAAAATCTATTTTTTAGGATTTCGTTGCCATTAGTGGGTGAAAATTATTACTAGTACCTATAAATTGATTTTATATTTATGTCTTCAATAAACTACCACTAGGAACTTTTACATATTCATATAAGAACATACCAATTAGGGTTGTAATTTCTATTTCATTAATAAATATCTATAAATGAACATGCAGAAATTAACCATTTATAAAAGTAAAAATATTGACTTGTCATCATTAAAGTTTAAATAATAACCTAAATATTACACTCGATTTTAACCTACATATCTTATTATTTTACTATTTTGGCTTTTATATCATTAGTGTGGCTTATTTCTTTCTTTTTCATCATTAAATGGACCTTACATATCTTTTTCGCATCATTAAATGGGACCCAAGTAATACATGACAATCATAATAAAGAATTAATACGAAGAAAGCCAACATAAAGGACAATCTACTATATATCATGCGTATTGGCCTTGTCCTTTGCATTCATTGCATCATGTGTTCTACAAAGAAGATCCCCATGTTGCTCAAAGAACGAACAATCGTGATTGATTCAGAGATTGTAGATTGATTCATAAGAATCATTCTTCCAAATGTATTCAAGGTGGAAATCTTGTTAACAGATTCAATGGAGGAGAAAAATAAATCAATTAAAAACATGAATGAACAAAAAATTTAAACGAAGAACAGTTTGATTGAAAAATGGAATGAAAAATTAAAAATCTGTTAGGATTTGGGAGAATCGAGAATCAAAGGTGAAGGTGGAGGGAGAGAAGATGTGGTTCTATGACCTGTCGTCGGAGCAACTGTGGGAGATGTCAACGGCGAATTTTCCGACGCCGGTGAACAACTCGAAGACGAGGTGAACCTGCTGGAACGGCTTCTCAGCTTTTTCATTTCTCCTTCGTTGTGCACTTTGTTATCTTCAATTCCGACTTTGATCGAGCTTATACTCGCCGGAATTATACAATTGCATAGAAAACCTAGATTTATCACCAGAAAAGCGTTCAGATCTTAATGAATCGTTACGATTTTACGATCAGATTTAGGAAATGTTCAATTGATTACCGATTCTGGCGAGTCGATTGATCCAACTAGGGATCGAGTTTCCGGTGAGTCTAACACAAACGTCATTGCAGAAGTGGTTGCAGTTTTTGGTAATGAGATTATATGAAATGCCTTTGTAATCTTCAGCAAGATCTTCCATGATTCTTCTCACTTCTCTCAGATTCTTCTCCGTCCATCCGATCAGAATCTGCTTCCTGAAAGTAAATCCTTCGCATTGTTTCGGTTCTCCCTCGAAGATCCCTGTCGTCGCTTGCTCATGACATCCGAACGCATACTCAACTCCATGAACTAAAACCAGGAAAAAAATAATTTAGCAAATCATTGTCCGAAGCTATTGGATTCGTGATCGGATAAACATAAACTACTTCGTTAATGTTAATTTCCCATCGAGTTGATTTGAATCGGAGGAAAAGAGTAGTGAAATTCAAACCTTGGACGCCGGAATGATAGACACCGAGACCTAGCCAATAAGCGTAGCCATTCATGGAGGTGAGATCATATACATTGAGGTATACCGGCACCGATCCTTCTTTCCGGCACTTTATCGAGTTTCCTCTGCACAGCATTTCTCAGTTGAAAGTGATGAAAGCTTCGTATATTTGATCGGGAATCAATTAACAGCTGGTGTTTTGAAAATCTGAAAACATTGGATAGAAATTGCTGAAATTCAAATATCGGAGAGAAAAAGAATCGATGAAGGTGAGGGTGAGGTTGGTGTCACCGGCGGCATATAAGTATCGCATCATCCGCTTTCTGGCGGGCCACCACCACCACCACTGCTGTTTGTATTTCCGATTTGTGGAGGCAATTAAGTGAATTAAGTCGCATTATTTAACATTAAAATTGTAGGTGTTAAAAGTAGGGAGTTGAGTTGACAACGACTGAAAGCATGTTAATATAGAAGAGGGCGAATTTACCTACTAATATTCCCTAATTTTGACATAAAAGTAATTGTATTACTTGAAATTAAAATATAAATCTTAGTATTCTATATGAGTAGGAATAGAGGAACAAAAATGTAGAAGGAAAATATATGTGTACATCTTCTTTTATCTATCTTGTTTGTTTATACAAAATTAGGATTCGTAAATACCGTATAAATTTTGATCATTAGTCGTTTAAACGTGTTAAAATAATACTTTGAGTGCAGAACTTAGATATTGATTAAATGAAACTATGTAATGACAATTTAAAGAATCTCTCTCTCTCTCTCTCTCTCTATATATATATATATATATATATATATATATATATATATATATATATATTCAGTTATTCTAACTAATTATTGTGTGGATGTAGGAATAATTATGGACCAAACAATTTTTAACAAATATTAAATAAATAATAAATTATTTAAAGAGTATAATAGTCATGTTTAACCTATTTAATTTTAGTAAATATGAAAAACATTTAATATCCCCTTTTAATCAGGGAATTTAGTTTAAAACCCTACAATCTCTAATCTCCGCGTGCCTCATCCTTCACAATCATCTCATTACATACTCCCATCATCCGTCGATGCCCAAATACAGTGTTCAAATAATCAACATTGCCACCACTCCGTCACCAACAAGTCACCTCCTCCACCAGCCCTTCCTACTACATGTAACACCCATAAAATTCAAGCCAAATTAAATCTTTTCAAAACATTAAAAACCAAGAGTTATTACAGATTTGTTTTTAAAATAATCTATATCAGAGTTTTCCCAGAAACACAAACAACACATGAGGAGCTGTACGATCATGCATTCGCCTTGCCGCGATCCCCCGATGTACCTAAAACAATAAACTAAAACTGTAAGTTCGATAGCTCAGTGAGTTCCCCCAAAATACCAATACACTACACATAGCACATATACAAATACCCACATATACTGGGTCCACAACTTTACAAACTAGATTACCCCTGGGCCTACACTGTGAGTCTGGTTTGCCTTTCGGGTCCACTATTCACATCTGGATTGCCACCGAGCCCACAATATGAGTCTCCCTTAGTTCGTATTTGGAATGCTCCTGGGGTTGTTGGTTGTCGCACGGAGCAGTATCACCACAACCCATCCCACATAATAGGTCGACATATAACACAAGTAATGCACATACAGATAATCACATGATACTATAGGTAGTCCTACAGATCTACCTAACTGGCATAGCAACTAACATGCAACGCTAACTCATACTCAACATATTACCAACTACTAGGAAATCATATCCAATGGGTCGGCCTTGGTGCCTTAGACCCCTTAGTGTAGTGAGGATAACTCACCTCACAACTGTCGACTCGAAAGATAAGCTCAAACTCTCGGATCACCGCCCCAAACTCCACCACCTACATTCGCCACACAATCATGTTCATAAATTCCCAAAATGCCCCAGAAGTCCAAAAGTCAACCCTTGGTCAAAGTCAAAGTCAACTGCAAAGGTCAACAGTCCATGTTAACCTGAACTTGTCGAGTACAACAGCCGCTCACCGAGTTCCTTGTATAACTCGTCAACTCGCCGAGTCACTTGAGTGACTCGTCGAGTTCCTAAGGTTTGTGGTCGTGAACTCCTTGGCCAAATCATCGAGTTTCTCTTGCAACTCGACAAGTCCATGCGTGTCCAAAGGTTAGGAAACCCCTAACTGACTCTCCGAGTCACTCTACTGAGTCACCGAGTCTACAACAATCTTCATCGGACTCGCTGAGTTGACCATGCAACTCGTTGAGTCCCTTTAGTCCTTCATCCAATCATATGTTTTTTAAGCCATGCTAAGGTTCCATATTGCAGATCCAAATCCCCAAGGTTCCATATCACGTAAAGTTGCAAACTTTACATGCATACAAGGCTCTACAGACTCTAAATGAAAAATCTAAGCTTGTAATGGAGTTTTACACCTTAGGAAAGTCTCATTCTTGCAAAAGATGGAAGCTTTATGGACTTAGAGACCTAAGGGAGTTCAAATTTGAAGTTGCAACTTCAGATCTTAGCTCAAACACAAGAAAAGCTTGGGAAAATGACAAAGTCACCCTTCACTGGTTCTTATGCTAGGTGTGAGGGTTTGTTGGATCTCATACATACTGATGTGTGTGAACCCTTCAGAACCGCCACAAGGGAAGCTAACCGCTTCTATGTGACTTTCACTGATGATTTTAGTAGATATGGATATGTCTACTTAATCAAGCATAAGTCAGAAACCTTTGAAAAGTTCAAGGAGTTTAAACAGGAAATGGAGAATCAACTGGGCAGTAACATTAAGATGCTTCGATCTGATCGAGGTGGTGAGTATCTTAGTACAAAGTTCCTTGACTATCTTAAGGAATGTGGGATTGTCTCACAAATGACACCTCCCAGGAGACCATAGCTTAATGGTGTGGCTAAGAGGCGTAATCGAACCTTGTTGGACATGGTTCGTTCCATGATGAATCGAGCTTCGCTACCAATCTTATTTTGGGGGTATGCCTTAGAGATTGCTGCCCATATCCTTAATCTATTCCCTACCAAAAAGGTTGCCAAAACACCTCACGAGATGTGGACCGGAAAAGTTCCCAATCTGGACCACATCAATATTTGGGGTTGCGAGGCTTTCGTGAGGCGCAAGACTCACGGTAAGCTCGAACCTAGAAGTGAGAGGTGTATTTTCATCGGCTACCCACAGAAATCCTTTGGTTACATCTTCTATAGACCCAGTGATAATGTGGTCTTTGTAAAAAGGAGGGGAGTCTTTCGAGAGAGACAGACAGAGAGAGAAAGAGAAAGAGAGAGAGAGAGAGAGAGAGAGAGAGAGAGAGAGAAAGAGAGAAAGAGAGAGAGAGAGAGAGAGAGTTCATAAGTCAAGGAAATAGTGGGAGGCAAATTAACCTTGAAGAAATTCAAGATTCAAGTGGTGAAGGAACCTCAAACCCTAGCAATCAACCTGAGGAAGAAACTCCTATTGATCCGACTGACGAGTCTGTACCTCTGAGGCATTCCACAAGAGTTAGGAATGCACATGAGCATTACTATGGTTTCCATATTACTACGGAAGGTGATATGCTTATCAGTGATAACACCCTGATAGATCTGGATGAATCTAACAGCTACACGGAAGCCATGACAGGTCCTGAGGCTGCTAAATGGAAAGAGGCTACGAACAGCAAGATACAGTCCATGTATGACAATCAAGTTTGGAACTTGGTTGACAATATACCAGGTCGTAAGATAGTCGGGTGCAAATGGATCTTCAAGAAGAAGACCAACATAGATGGTACTGTAAATCGCGACTGGTTGCAAAGGGGTTTTTTCAAACTCCGGGAGTTGATTATGATGAGACCTTTTCACCAGTAGCGAAGATTAAGTCTATTAGGGTTATGTTATCCATTACTGCATTTCATGATTATGAAATATGGCAAATGGATGTCAAAACCTCTTTCCTTAATGGAAAGTTGGTTGAGGATGTTTACATGAGTCAGCCATAGGGTTTTGTAAGTACAGAGTACCTTAATAGAGTGTGTAAGCTTGAGAAATCCATCTATGGATTGAAACAAGCACCTCGTAGATGGAATCTTTGTTTCGATGAGAAAGTTAAAGAGTTTGGCTTTTCGAAGAGCGAAGATGAATCTTGTGTATATGTCAGGGCTAGTAGGAGTATAGTTAGCTTTTTGGTATTGTATGTGGATGACATACTACTCATAGGAAATGACATCCCAACATTGCAGGAAGTAACGTCCTGGCTTAGGTAGTGTTTCGCTATGAAGGACCTTGGAGAAGCTGCCTATATCCTAGGGATAAGGATTTTGAGAGACATAATACCTACTTGGATAAGGTGTTGAATAGGTTCAGCATGACGAATCCCAAGAAAGGAGAATTATTGATCCAGAGTAATGCCAGACTGAGTAAGACTCAGAGCCTGAGTATAGAGGCTGAGATAACCGAGATGAGTCGACTACCGTATGCTTCCGATGTAGGCTCGATCATGTATGTTATGACTTGTACTCGTCCTGATGTGTCCTTTGCACTGAGCATGGTTAGAAGATATCAGGGGAACCCTGACAAGGCTCACTGGACTACGGTAAAGAACATTCTCAAGTACCTGTGGAGGACTAAGGATTAGGCCCTTACCCTCGGTGGGAGTGACGACTTAAGAGTAGTAGGGTATAGTGATGATAGCTTCCAGACTGATAGGTATAATTTCCGCTCTCAGACGGGCTTGGTCTTTACCTTAAACGAAGGAGCAATTACTTGGAAAAGTTCCAAGCAAGAGACAGTTGTTGATTCAACTTGCGAATCAGAGTATATAGCAGCAAGCGAGGCAGCAAAGGAGGCTATATGGCTAAATAACTTCATTGGAGACCTTGGAGTTGTACCAGCTATAAAGGAGCCAATGGAATTTTTTTGTGATAGTGAAAATGCAATTGCCTTAACCAAGGAACGAAGGGATCATGGAAGATCCAGATACATCGACAGAAAATACCATTTCATTGGACATTAAATAGAAGAAGGACTCCTCATGGCAAAGAGGGTATCATCGGATGAGAACCCAACAGATCCCCTCACGAAGGGACTGGGTAGGGTTAAGCATCTTCAACATACGAGGCGCATAGGGATAAAGGATGATATTAGTTTTAGAAATTAGATAGATTTTGAAATTTGTAAAGTGTAAATGACATTTGATGATAAATAAAAGTTGTTGTTTATTTATAAGAATAGGTGTTGCTATCTTTTTTCAATCGTTTACTATCATTTCATTTTACATGTTTTGACTTCCAGAATAATTATGTTATGGTATATCATATTATTCAAATTCTCCACAGTCAGTCATATGTTGGAAGTAGATATGTATCAAGACTGTCATGAGTTGGCTTGTAGATGTCTAAGGTATTAGACATAGCAAGAGTTGTTGCAACACTCATGAGTGCTCATAAGTTATGAGTATTGGATTCAACCCACGTTCACTTGTATCACTTTATGGAATTTATCTTGAGTGATCGTGAGACGGTAATATCATATAATTCTTCAAACCTAGAGATATGAGTTGTTGACTATGATTTGGTTATACATTAAT